CAAAGGGAGTGGAAAGGAGACAATCGTAATTTCACCACTGGTTACGTATCTCAGCCACCTTCACTTTCGGTTGTGATTTAATGGATACTCAAAAATCAGGTTTCCGAGTTAGGACTGGAACCAATTATTTCCGTGTTATATCCGAACTATTCTCGTTCAGATGAAAAAGGGGGTAAGGTTGTAAGGAAATTGTACTGATGCATCGGTGGGAGAGTGTTACAAAGTAATTTTGGTTTTATCAACTGAGTCGCTCTGACGAACGGCTCACGCCCGAAACGACAGCTTTGAAACTCTGTACGGTGGCCAATTTACATTATCAAATCAGTCGATATTTACCAAAGAATAGTTTATTCAGTTCCAGTCCTTACTTGAAAACCTGATTTTGGATTATCCATTAATCCTCGAGACCCTTCAGTTTCACTGTGTACTCAGCTACTAAAGAAATTACTTTAAAAAATTTAATGCTTACAAGTATCATATAAACTAATTCATGCGTCTTGATATTTTACGATTCCCCAGTCAAGATGAGAAGTAAATTTTTGGGGTCGAATTTAGACTAACTGAATTCTGAAATTGATATACCTAGAAAAGCGACTAAAAACTACATGAAAGTTTCCCTCAACTACCTCATCGTTCCGAAAGAACCATTCAACTGAGATTGCTGCATTTCTATAAGAGCCAGTTGTAATCTTTGAACCTGTGGAAATACAACAGCAACACCAGTTGGAATCGTCTCAGACTAAAAAATAGGTTCCATGTTGCCGTGCGTCTCTTTAACAGTTGATCAAAGATGACGTCAAAATGGGTTAAGAAGAAAAAAGTGACGCAAAAGGCGCTTTGGAGTGTGTCACTAATGTTATTGACAGATTTTGATACCTTCTGTGATCTTTTATTGCGCAGACCGACCCCAGCATGGAATCTGTTTGTGTAATATGACAACAAAATAAAAATTTTTCATGGTGACGTCAAATGTGCGTTTGTCCGCCAATACCAGTAGTTCACAAATAAGAACCATTAAAATTGCGTTTACAATTAAGTTTATTATACAAAATAACACAAGGTTTACAAAGTAAGAAATTAAAGTTATCACAAACAGCTGAAAGATTCTGTTTCCTAACTGAGGACTCAGACTGTCAATAACAGCACCATAACAATTTACCTCTTGGTAGTATGTTTCACTCTGGATTTGCAGCTCTTCAATATTTGTCATTTTTATATCCTTCTTTAGCTTACTGGAGAAGAAATTAAAATAAAAATTCACAACACAAAACAACAAGATCTAAGTTTAAATTCTTTGTATTGTCTGCCATGTATTTCAAATAACTTTCATGCTGAGTATTTGTCTGGTCAAACAATATTTCCTAATTTTTTTTTTTTTCTTCCTCTGGTCAGTTTTATTGAGACAAAGTCTTTGTGGTGGCCCAGGGCTCGACACTAACTTTTCAACTTACTAGCCAAGTAGCCAGTGACAACTTAGATGTTACAACAATTTTAGTTTGTTTACTAACCAAACTGGCGGATGGAAATCGAAGAGCACTAGCCAAAACTGAATTTCAACTAGTCTGTGGCTAGTTGGCTACTGTTAGTGCCAAGCCCTGGTGGCTCGCAGGAGAAAGTGTTAACTCAAAGGGGAGAGAGGAGGGCAGCTGTTACTTTTAGGAAGATTAAGCGACCATCAACACTAATATAGTGCAACAATTTCACCTTAATTCTGCTTCTTTGTCCTTTACTGTTCTCTCAACTGCGTGGAGTTTCTGTTTTAAACTGTTCACAATCTGAAAAGAAGAAGTGCTTCAGTGGTTACAATCTTGGTAATACATGTCCTATGCTTGCATCAAATTGATGGAGTCCTCACTGAAAAGGCAGGGTCAGAGTAACAAATACAAGCTGACTCTAAAATTAAAAAGAGGCAAGCAAAATCACTTCTGGTAAGATTATCTTTTTGAACCAGTCCACCCCCCATAGCAGGGAATGGGAGATTTAACAAACAGTTGTCCTGGTTTGAAAAGTTGCAATTCAAGCTTTGCATCACTGTGTTGTGTTATTTAGCAAAAAACATAAGACACCATGCTAAGAGGTTGTGCATTAGCATCCCAACCAAGGAGTATCAAAATAATTACGGCTGCCCACTCAGTGTGGACCACTTAGTCTAGCAACGAGGGCAGACTTTCCTTCCATTATTAGAAAATTGTATGCGAAACTTGGCATATCTGGGGGTGGTTAGGCAAGGGACCCACAATCTATTACAGTTTTAAGAAGAACCAAAACTCTGTAATTGTATCATTTTAAAACTGCATCACCTCTGGCAGCAACAGGCTTTTTGGTATGTGAACTTATGTTAACACCATTACAGATTCTGGGCTCCCACTGAAATATCAAATACAACCTCATCTTTGTACACATTTTAACCATGCTTGTACACTCAACTGTGCAGGAACAGCATAATTATTTGTAACTTTTTCCTAATGAAATCGTATTAAATTTACGGTTTGTTTTTGTCTCGTACAACCATTTGACCACTTACAGCACTAGTGTCTCCTTTTTTGTCTGTCAATGTTCTTCTGACATCTTCAGGCTGAAGTACAAAAAAGTCAAAAAAATTAATTTATTATAATTACTGTTGGCAAACTTAATTGTTATTTTTCAAGGTTGAAATATAAAACAATAATTATCATAATTATTGTTTTATGTTTTTTGATCAAATATCAAAAAGCATTCCATATCTTATAGAGGTTCAGTTTTGTGGGATTATCTGCCAATCGAGTGTCATAACGCACATAGTGTGAAAAGTTTCTCCAGGATGATCAAAAAGCTTCCTTTGGTCAGGGACATTGACTTTTCTAATTTATTCTGTAAAAGATAGCTCCTCCCTAAAAGAAGTATTTTTAGGTCTATAATTTTATTAGCTAGATAATACTATCAATTATTAATCTAAACATTATCTTATGTTTACACATAAGTCTTATTTTATATTATATTACAACTATCGTTTATGTATCTTTTTATTTATCTACTTATACACGACCCCACAAGCTGCATAGCTTCAATACTCATTGTGTTTAAATAAAGGTTTTACTTACTTAAAGGATCCCTTCCAACCACAATACCCTGCGCGCCCAAACAGAAAAAATAATTAAGAAATAACTAGTCAAATAGAAACAACAATAAATTTGGAACGCGATTGAGGAAATGCAAGACCTCAGTGAGGCAAATGTACTCGGATGAACGAGGATTTCTTTCCACTTCACGACTTGTCCAATACCGGATGGCAGAGAAAATGGCGGATTTCACATATCGCGCGCGCAATGTATTGTGGTTGGAAGGGATCCTTTAATACTTACTTACTTATACATTAATTGCTGAAGTTAATTTATTCATACTTTAACAATCATGTTAAGAAAGCTAACTCATTAAATTTCAACTTTCCAGAACAAAATATTGACCATATTGGTTTAATTCTGCATAAAGTGTTAAGAAGACGTTAAAGAACTTGTCCGCGTGTGACTAGCGTGCGGGTGCTCTGGGACTACATAGGCTAATAATATGGTAAGCAAATCACGCGGACCTTTTAATTTTGACGTGTGCGATTTTTTAGAGGGAGTTGAAAAGTTTTTAGTTTATCAAATAGCAGTTTTTGTTTATTAATAGTCCTTGTCGTTTACAGTGAGTCTACAGTTTACCGTGTTGGAATTAAAGTGTTTGTTTGGATTTCCCATTTCGCTTCCGAACATTAAGAATTTAATCTTCACTCACAATCTTGTCACATACCTGCTTTCTTGTATTCAAGAGGTCTTCCATTTTTCTGTCCTGTAAACAAAAATATCCATAGTTATTATAAACGATAAAATATAATTGAGTTAAATTTATATCCTTGGTTTCAATTTCATTGAAAGTCATGCATTTGTAAGCATATCCAGAAACCAAAAGAGAAAAAAAGAAAATTTACCAACAAATTAACCTTTTCAAAAATTTTTAATTTATTTTTCCTTGACAAAACATTTTTCTAGGTGTCAATGACAAGTGGTGGAGAGGGTCTAATGAAACTCTTGGACCCCTAAGAGTGATTAGAATCTATCTTCTCCTTACAATATCACCCCTGAATCACACATTAAGGTCAGGAGAATGATTAAAATGGTCATCAACTAAAGAAGCTCTTGATTGTTCAACAAATTCTCCTTGTCAGCACCTTAGGAAATGTATAGAGAACAGTATGGAGAATATGCATAGTGATGTGAGTGTCCAAAGGACTAAAGAATTAATTGTAGAAGTGCACACTGCCGCTGATATCGGTACCTATATTGATCATAACAAATACACATTAAACTTACCTTCAAGACATTCTCTCCTTCCACCCTGCGGAGTTTTGTGTTTAGAATGTTGTTTTCTGCTTTCAGGGTATTTATTACCTGTAGAATTTCATAAAAACCAATTGGTTTTCAATGAGACAGACTGTACAGCTGCCACTAAAAAGAACAACTGTTTTTTCTACTTAGTAAACAGCTTGATGATACAGAGCATAATTCTATCATTTATGGTATCAAATTTCTCATTGGCAGGCAGTCAATTGACACCATCAAAAAGAGTACAGTCGCATAAGAGAAGAATCACCCAGCAATAAAAATACTTTCTCACTTCTAGAATTTAAAACAGGAGATTTTCACAGAGAATGTCCACTGTAGCATGGAGTAAGTTTCTGGATGGTTTTGAGTGCATGACCTGTTACAAACAAGAGAGTTTTGATTTGTGTATAAACTAAAGAATGATCAGAGTGAAAAGAGGCAATGCAAAAGAACTCTTACTGTAATGTTCAGTGTTTTAAAAACATGTTGCTTGTGTATCCAAAATCTTAGCTCGCTGCTGCTTACCTTTTTTAACTCTATGATCTCATCATAGTAGTCTTCCTGTGGTTTATACGCAGGGCCACCAATAGACAACTGTGGTTCACCTTAAAATTAAAAAGTTACAATTCACATTGATTCCCTTGGTCAGTAGAGGCTTGTTCATTATAATAGCAAAAAAAGAAAAAATATATATCATATCTTATTAACCAAGCGCGAGGGCTGTACTGGGAGAATATCGGCCCAAGGTCTTAATTGACAGTATGGACCGAGCGCAGCTCGGTCCATACAAAAAAGACCGAGGGCCGATATTCTTCCAGTACAGTCCCGAGCAAGCTTGGTTAATAAGAGATTTATTATACGACTGAAGTTCAAAGGGACACAAGTGCGGTATCATTYGGGACCATTCGGGACAGTGCCCGGTCCAATACTGAGAGAATATTGACCGGCAATAGAGCATTTTGATTGGTTGATTTTAGTTATTGGCCCTCTGACTCCCCAAGTCGTGTAATAAATACATATATTTACACGTAATATAAAGAATATCTTTATTATGACACATTTACATGAATGGAGGAAAACTTACTTGCAGACATACTTGCACTTCTGACATGATTCTTACTTTTTAGGTCTTCGATCTAGAAAATGTCAAAGATGAACTTTTAATTAATCATTTGATATCAGTAACAATTCTTTTACCAATAACTTGAAGCCTACTAGTTTTGAGAAAGGTCTCCACTGTTAAGTTACAAAAGCCAATATCTCTATCATTGTTATCAATAAAAAAAGAGTTAGTTACCCCATAGCAAGTGAAAAAAATAATGTGGTGCAAAATTACCCAGGTTGAAAAACTGTACCTAGTGAAAAATTAAATTTACCTTAGAAAAAAATTTACCTGCAACATATACAACTAAATCAGTCAACTTCATTTAGTTTGCACTCCAGTCACTGATTCTTGGTGTCAAACAAGTGTCATCATTATTCTTACAATTGCCACCCTCAGATTGATGTTACCCTTAAAAGAATGGTTTCATTAACCTGCTCTAGTAATTGGTCCAGATCAGGGCTCGACACTAACTTTTCAACTTACTAACCAAGTGGGTAGTGACATCTTAGATGTTTTTAGATGTTACAACAACTTCAGTTTGTTTACTTGCCAAACTGGCTAGTGGAAATTGAAAACCACTAGCCAAAACTGAATTTCTACTAGTCTGTGGCTAGTGAGCTACTGCTAGTGTCGAGCCCTGCAGATTACACCCAACAAATTATATTCTTGCCACTGTTACTTCAGTTCCAGCTACTTCAAAAGGTAATTGTCTTTCACCCTCAAAATTTAATTTTAGGAAGAACCTACCTGAACGTAATCACTTAAATGCCTTGACCTTGTGCCAGTTTTATTCTGTTTATTTTGAGAAGCTCTAGAACCTCCCCAAGTCCTCATGGGTGAATTTTCTGTACTCAAAGCTAAAAAGTTTAAAATGTTAGAAGGTAAATACATTCAAGAGTGGATTGATTGAACTAATTTCAACCAGTCACATCATGATGACAAAAAAAAAAGTTTTCATCTCCAAGGTAAGAGATATAATTCATACATCGAGGCTCCATTTGGCAAAATATCTAAGACAATCAAAATGTGTACATATACATCAACTGGTAAAAAATTTTGCATGAGGTGTATTAACTATTAGGTAAAAGAAACCAAGCAATGTTTTGGTACAGGAAGAATATAAACTAGTAGACAAGAGGAACCTCAAGCAAACCTAACTGTAACAGCAATGAGGGAAGTGGAAAAACAACGATCTTATGAGCAGAAAAATAGCTAAAAAATGTGACTGTGTTTTAGAACTTTGTACATTTCTCATACAACTTCTATAAAACATGACTATGAAATCACCAAAATTTGCACTGTCCTAAAACCCAAACCCTGAAGGCAAACTATTTGAAATAAATATCCTTAAGGAGCTCCACGCTGCTCACACATATATAATTAAGTTGAGATGTATGGCCTTATGAGACTGTAAACACATCTAACCATAATCGAAATACTACCTAAAAATAAAAATTCACTTTTTAAACAAAGTATTCTTCTGCATTGCCATCCTGGCTGCTTGAGGTCCCTAATGTGTCACTTACTAGCAGTTCCATTTCTCATTGCAGTAATCCACATGTTTCTTGCAGCAGGCTTCGGAGGCTGCTGTTTTGATGAGCTTTTGAGTTGTGAATTGGAGTAAGGTGACTTTGCTGGGAGAACAGAATTATACATCAAGCTTGTTTAGTCTTTGTATTGGTCAAAACAGGATTAAATGAAAGGGTTGAGCCTTAACTGAATCCATACTATGAACAGTTTCCAAATTGAATCTTTTTTCAACCAGAAACATTGTCAAGAAGTAATGAAGACATTAATACCCTATACCATTGCTTCTGATTTTAGACAAAAGAAACATTGAGCCTTAGACAATAACTTTCCATGCATGGCAAAGTTAAAGAACAAAATGAATGAACTTTAAATTAAAAATCTATCTTCACAATGAGCCTAAAAAAGTTGGCAAGCCTTTTTGAAGATTTGAATGCATTTCTGCAAATGCACAACTTTTGACACTGCTTAGGCTTAAGTCATCAAGGCAAAATGTGGCTGAGAAGATGAATTTAAAAACTTAGACTTTTGTAACCACTAGTAAATAGCACCCTTTAATTTTCAGCAAAACCTGCTAACTTCAATAAATACACTTAACACTTTTAAGTGAATTTACTTTATTGTCTTATAGTCTGCAAATCATACAGTATGTAAATGTGCTTCCACATGACAGAATAAACTAGTTCTTACCAACTCTTGACCTTCGGCCTTGAACTGACTTTGACCTTTTAGAACTCCCTGGGTGTGCAATAATGACATTATTAAAATAACAGAAAGAATTTAAAAGGATTGAAGTGAAAATTATCAGATAGACCATTCAAGTCTTCAAATTCAAAACAGTCAGAAAGTTTGAACATGTTAGTACTCCATGTTAACTCACCTGATGGAGGTCTTGGCATGTGTCCACTTCCACCAGATGCTGCACTGCCCTAGACAGCAGAAATTCAAGCAAATGACAATTCTCAGAAAACTTGGAAAGTATTGACCTGCTCTGGACAGTTCTATTATGTACTGACTAATCAAAACAAATTGCACTGGGCATGAGAAACATTAGAAATAGTCTAGTTTTCTGACACAAAAAAAAGTTTCAGAACTATTTTCGGTGGTCATACATGTAGTTTCACAGACTTTTGACTCAGTTTTAAAAAATTTTCCAATCATTAGAGGTATAGATCAACACATAATTAACAGATCTACTGTATTTAGAGCAACTTTATTCACTTCAGACTGCTTACCCTTTGCATTTTACATACTCACCATTAAATTCATCAACCAGGTTTCACAAAACAAAATGGTACAAACAATCCCAGCTTAAATAGAGTGCTTTAGAACTGATGAGCAGGGGTCCACTACACTGAACTTCAGAAATTCAATTTACAGTCCCTTGAGTTAAAAATGTAGCCTCCCTCCACCCCACATAAATGTGATTTTCAGTCACAGTATACTTCAAAACTGTAACCTGTCTTTCACAACAGTTTCTCATTAATTTTAAATTTTATGTCAAGTATATTTTATACTTATCTGTAGATTTAAGTTATAGAGTAAACTACTTGATAACCTGCCGGATCTCGGACGTTTGTATGGGGAGAGTTGACGTGTTTACGTAAATCATCATACAAGTATTGCATATAACCAATGATAATCATTGAAATCAAGATCTGTCTATTTCCAATTTCGAAATATTTACACCACGACGTTGACAAGCTTACCACTGAGATCGTAGAGCCATTAGACACATCAGAGTAGGCGTCCACATCCTAAAATTACCACATAAAAGTTTCGAATTCAGCACATAACAATTGTTGACAAGTAAGCGATAATAAGGACAAGGTTGACTAGAAGACCATCACCATCATAATATTTCATTGCAAAAAGGAGTGGAAGGATTTTTCACCTACCTCGATTGTTACTCCTGGAATTGGCATGAGTTTTACCTATCACTCAAAGGAGATTCTGCTTCACTCCTGATCTTAGAATCATTGCTAGTCATTTACTAGCTCGATTACAATAGTAACTAAAAGCTGTTGTGGGAGGCAACGAATTCAAAGCTCAGTAGTTTTGATCAGTGAATCAGACCTCCAGTTCACCTACAATTGAAATATTCTTATTATTTCAGAGGGTATTTGGGAAAGTTTTGAAAGAGTTTTGGGCCAAAGCAAAGAAGAAAATTCCGTTTGATGTGTCAAAGCAGTTATGTGGTTACGGCAACGGTACCTACGCCTGCGATAAGACAATATATTGTCAGCAGTTAACTATTAAATAAGTAGTTATGTCATTTAATTTCAAATGATTTATTCTAAAGCATATCTCGATCGAGGCTATCGAGGCCGAGGGCGGGCTCACAAGAATTTTTGCGCCAAAAAATTACAACACTTTTGAGGTAAAGCTACACTGCACCCCAAGAAAGCATACAGTTGTTACAATTTTTCGTTTTACCTGTGGCTCTCCTAGGTTTAAAAAATTTCAATGAGTTAAAGAGAGAATAAAGAATTGATGGAGATATCCGATTCGCTATTACATATCACTGTTGATTCGCTATTACATACCAATGTTGTTTCAAAGCGCGTCTCCCAATATAGAACACCGCCCATTCATTGATCGCGGTCCCCAACCTCATAGATGGGGTAATTGTGGTCATCTGCAGAATAACTCAGCTGAATAATGTAAACAGGCACAGTGGAATAGAAATATTCCAGAGGCATAGTACCGACGATCAAAACACCCATTAGCAGAGCCGGGCGACAGCAGAGGGGGGAAGATTTCTTAGAAATGCGCCAATCGCAGCCTGAATTGAATATCAGCCAATTACAACTAAGAATAGTGGTTCATAGGAGGGTCGTGACTTACATGGATACTCAAAAATCAGGTTTCTGAGTTAGGACTGGAACTGAATTATTTTTTTTTTGGTAAATAAAATCCCGATCTTTCACGATCTTTGTCCTCATCTTAAATCCACACTTCTGCATCCGATTCATAGCACGTCAAGAGAACCGAACCTGAACGAAAATTGTTCAGAAATCATACGGAGATAATGGTTCCAGTCCTTAAATTGTAACAATGTTTATAGAGGGCCGCAAGTTCATTAGTTTTAAACTATTAAGTGTCACCCTCTTTAAATAAAGTTTGACTGATTGATTGATTGATTGATTACTCAGAAATCTGATTTTGCAGCGCGTATCCATTTTAGTCACGATTGTTCATAATAAGATGATGAGCATTCAATCGATGTCGCCATTATAAGAGGACTCACACGAATATAAAGTTGAAAAGTCGCGATCCAAATCGGACGTGACCACACAGAGAATATTATGTCATTATAAGAATTTATTTCCTTATATATATCGGCATACATGTTATTCAGATGACTCGTTAAACGTTCCTAGTGTATATTGTGGGTACACTCTGCCTGCACCAGACAATCTCAAAAAATAAAACATGGTAGGATCGAAGGATTTCAAGCAAAATATTCGAGTATAGTTTTGAGCAAAATGAATTCGTAAAGCATGCCCTGTGTGTTTTAAATATCACCTGATTGGCATGTAATTTGTATGATAATAACGTTAATCATGCTGGAAGTTCTTACAAAAATGGACCTGATGCATACTAAAATTCACAAAGTTCTACTTCTAATTTATTGTCAATAATAATGACAAAAATATATTTTAGGGTAACACCGGACGCTTTTTGCAACTTCATCGCCGACATTGTCTAACTGATTACGAACTCTTTAATTCCGCTCCAAGCAACGATTATCCTGCGCGGGATCAAAGCAGCCAATCACTACCGGGCAAGATGGGCCCATGTAGCCAATCAGAACGCAGAATTCTCTTAATATTGCCCACGGGCACTGTCAGCGATATAATAAAACTTATTTACTACCCTAACCGTAAGTATTAATTACCCTCGCGGACAAAAATAGATAAACAAGATGAATGTAATACGTCACACTGTTAACACTGAACATTCAAAAAGCTCTAACTCTAGAAAATCGTAAATTGAAGAACCAGAAGTACAAATCAAAAGCCTAGGATACGAAGGATCGACTACGCGCGCAAACCCTGCTGGTTCAACGTCCTCCTTTGTACGATATGTAGAGCTAGAGTAACTGAAATGCGTGTTGTTTATAGGCAAAAGAATGGGAGAACAAAGGAACACAGAATTCAGAACACAGAATTCTCTTCATATTGCCCACGGGCACTGTCAGCGATATAATAAAACTTATTTGCGGTATAATAAAACCCACTTTGTAAAATAACATATGACCCGTCTACGTAACTCATTATGATGTTGCTGAGGTTAACTATTTAAATGACTGTATATTTAGGAATACTATCTCAGAATATACTGACTATACTTTCATATATTTCAGTTCATTTTCGGTCAAAATACACAAAAATTGAGTAGGAAATGATATAGTACAAGTATAAAACTACGAGAATAAAAACAGCCGAGTGAAAGGGGTCACAGTCTTAACCCCCGGAGCCAAGCGTTACAGGAGAACTCAGGATCCCATCCGCTTGCCTTGTAGCCTCCTAGCAGACTTATATAAAGTTTTAATATATCTTATTAACCAAGCGCGAGGGCCGTACTGGGAGAATATCGGCCCGTAGTCTTGACAGTACGGACCGAGCGCAGCGAGG